CCTCTCACAAATTTGTTTCCTGGCTTCTCTCTTGTGATCATAAACAGCTCATCTTTGTGGCTCTATAGATTCTATGAATTAATGGTGCAAGTAGCAATGTCTCTTTCTCTCTCAGACACACATCATCGGTCTTGACCTTGCGAAACGAGCGGTATTCTACTTCAACCAGTACTATTTTTTTTTGTTTTTGTTCCAAGATCTGTGTTCTTTTGTTTATTGTTGATTGATGATTGAATATGTAAACAAATTTCGAATTCTTAAGCCATGATTGAATACATAAACAAATTTCGAATTCTTAAGCCACCTCTATGGAATGAGATTGTCAGAAATCTTCTAATTTTCAGTCACAAATTAGAAGAAAATGAATAATTTAGTGGCAGCATCATTACTACTCATGCACTACTGTAAAATTGATGGATTTTTGGGTAGGAGCTGTAAAAAATAATTATAGTTTTAAGCATAGATTTATAATTGGAACAACTCAACAAATATTAGAATTATGATGTGAGCAATATAATCATGAGTGTTGTAATCTAAAATCTAAAATAAAGCATGCAAATAATAGTTAGATCATATAACATGCAATTTAAATAAATAAATACAGAAAATGTATAAACATGCGATCTATATAAACTAAATAAATTAATTTAGAATGAGTTGATTTGTGAGTCCGAGAAGCATGTGTGATCATTGTCTTAAAGCAGCTGAGCCTCCCCACGTGAGGGTTTTGACGGACATAAGCAACTCTAATATCCAACCCAGACGCTCGCAGCAGCACATTCGCGATGATCACGTCCACTGGAAGAAAAGAGTGAACTTGACACTAATCGAGTTACTCAAAACACAAGAAAATATGATATGCTTGTAGTTGAAATGGATTTGACAAAAGCTGGATAATTAGGAAACTCAACAAAGCTTGGAAAGATAGGCTGACAAAGCTAGGAAAGCTTTATAGGGAAAACTTAGAAAACTCAAGAATGGATTTCAATATATATGTTTTTTAGAATAGCTCCACCAAATGATTTATATAGGCACAAAAATAACTCATTAGTAAATTCTAGGTCTAAATAGAATTTACTAGTCAACTTAAAAGACATTTAAAAATATTACCGTTATGTATTAAATGGGTCATTTGTATTGCCACTAAAGTTGTGTAACATTTAAAATAAAATCTGTAATTACTAAAAATTAAAGTGGATGAAAAGTTTTAAAAACTTAACTTATTCTTACAGGAGCTGCGAATGGTGAGAGCCATGAGGAAGAAGAATCAGAGAGAGACAGGAGAGAAAAAGGAATGGCTATGGCAAGAGGAAAAAGAAGAACAGAGGAGCGGACAGAATCAAACAAATTGTTCTATGGATAAGAATTGTTTATGGCAGTGAGAGAGAAGAGAGACAGAGAAAGAGAGACTGCTTGTGGCTTGAAGAAAATGAAGAACAATGAAATGAGCGTGTGGGTAAGAGAATTCTAAGGTATCCAATTTTTTTTTTCAATATCTTTTTGTTGTTTATAAGTTTAGTGAGTTTTTTCATAAAATTTGAGTCATTTATAAAATTTGGAGATCATTTATAATCTTTGAGGATCATTTATAACTTTTAAAGATCACTTATAATTTTAGAGGGTACATGGGATCACTTTTAAAAAATTTATGATCGACCACAAATAATCATCAAGAGTTGCGAATAGACTTTCCAAAGTTATAACTATTTCCAGAGTTGCGAATATTCTTACAATCTCCCACAAATTTTTGAAACTTCAAAGTATCTCAAATATTTTGTATATACTTTAATATAGAATATATGGGCAACCATTATACTGTACAATAGGTGTAGGTGTCTTCTGGACTTGAACCTCAGTTAGTGTTAACAGTTTCCCTCTGAAGGATCATAGTTACCAAAGGCTTGAACTAGATCCTTTGGACCAGAGTTCAACATGTCACACACACAGTACCGATATTGGTCAATATTCGCGGTTCAGTGTTATTAATGGCCTTACACTTGATCTTGATTCTTATGAGAGTTTCTAGAGAATAACCCAATTCTCATAGTCGCAGCCTCACGACTACTCTCACTTAGGTGAGCCCTTTAAGGGTACATGTGCACAATACCCTGTAGGAGTGTTCCTGCCTCGGTCTCATTCATGATAAAATCTTTCCTTACCATTACACTACACATACACTTCTGCTATAGGGATGAGCAAAAAAATATCTCCTCTTGGATATTTCCTAAATAACAGTGCTAATGAGTCATGCAGTATGAATTGTTTCTACCCATTAAACTTCTTTCATGGGGTCCCCAATCACATAAATTGGGTTACCTCCCTAGGTGACTCCCTTGTGGGCTTAAGTTCATCCCTCTCGACAGTTCTTAGACAACTTTTCTCGAAAGCCCTTTGGTTAGCTGATCAGCTATATTTAGCTCAGACTTTACAAAGTCTAGTGAAATTATACTTTTACTCAGCATTTTCTTTATTGATTTATATCTCACTTGTATATGTCTATTCATCTTTTTGTTATTATGATTTTGCTTCACAAGCTCAATCACTGTCTTACTATCACAATGTAATGAAATGGCAGGTATGAGTTTTCCCACTAGAGGTATCTCTAGTAATAAATTCTTTATCCACTCAGCCTCAGCACACATGGTATCTAAGACTATAAGTTCTGACTCTATAGTACTTCTTGATATTAGTGTTTGTTTTTTAGATCCCAAAGATATGGTTGCTCATCCTAACAGAAAGATATAGCCAGTAGTGAATTTTATATCTAAACTATCGGTGATCCAATTTGCATCACTAAAGCCCTCAACTACACTAGGAAATCCACTATAATATAAAGAGTAGTCTAAGGTTCTTTTAAGATACCTAAAGACTCTCTCTAAAGCAACTCAATGCTCTTTACTCGGACTATGTGTATATCTACTTAGTCTCCCTACGGCATACGAGATATCAGGTCTAGACTTATTTGCTATATATAATAAAGATCCAATCATTTGTGAGTACTTCAATTGTGAAAATCGATTCTCCTTTATTTTTCTTCAAATGTACATGAGGATCATATGGTGTTGATACAGACTTACTATAATAAAAACCAAACTTTTTCAACATTTTCTCTATGGTGCTAGACTGACTTAGAGATATTCCATTTGATGTTTTCTCTATTTTCATTCCCAAGACTACATAGGCTTCTCCCAAATCTTTCACATCAAACTTAGTAGATAAATAAGATTTAACATCATTAATGACCTCCAAGTTTGTCCCAAAAATTAGTATATCATCTACATAGAGACATAAAATTACACAACCAACATCACTATCCTAGTAGTATAAACATTTATCACTTTCATTAATTTGAAAACCATAGTTTAGAATTACTTTATCAAACTTCTCATGCCACTGTTTGGGAGCTTGTTTAAGGCCATATAAAAACTTCACTAACTTACAAACCTTATGTTTTTGTCCTTTCACCATAAACCCCTAAGATTGTTCCAATTAGAAAAGCGGTCTTGACATCCATTTGATGTATTACTAAATTATGGATAGATGCTAGAGCTATTAGTATTCTAATGGTAGTAATACTAGTCACAGGTGAATATGTATCAAAATAATCTATCCCTTTCTTTTGAGTAAATCCTTTAGCCACCAATCTAGCTTTATTTTATCTATACTCCCATCGGGTTTTAATTTATTCTTAAATACCCACTTACACCCAATAGCTTTGCTTCCGGGAGGCAATTCTACTATCTCCCAAGTATTATTAAGCAATATAGATTCAATTTCACTATTAATAGCCTCCTTCCAAAAAGATGCATCTATAGAAGACATAACTTCTTTATATGTCGTTGGCTCTCCTTCTACTAGAAAAGTAAAAAATCCTTCTCCATTCTTGGTCTTTTACTTCTCCTTAGCTCTTCATATTGTTCTATATTTTTCTCTATGGGAGCAATAGAACTAGTAGAAGGTTGATCACTAGTTGAACGTGTTTCTCTTACTTGACTAGGCATTGTATTTTTAAAAGGAAAAATATCTTCAAAAAATGTAGCTTCTCTTGATTCAATTATAGTATTGTTTGAAATTCCACTAATTTCCGAGTTAATAACTAATAATTTATTAGCACTACTATTTTGGACATATCCTATAAAGACAATGTCTACGGTCTTAGGACCTATTTTCTTTCTCTTTGGTTCGGGAATAACTACCTTAGCTAAACACCTCCACATTTTCATGATACTAAGGTTAGGAACTCTTCCCTTCCATATTTCATATGGAGTTTTCTCATTATCTTTAACATATACTCTATTCAAGATGAAACAAGCATTAAGTATAGTTTCCCCCCACAAATCTATAATATAAAATAAAGTGGAACTTCAATAAGCCGAGCGTACGGTCTTTATTCATTCAAAGGCTTCAACATCCAAAGGCTTACAATACATCTCATTCAAATTCAAATTAACCCAACCCAACCATCACATCCAACCCAACCCAACCTAAGGCAAGGCGGCAACCATACGTCTCTCTCCTTCTCTCACGACACACTCTCTCTCTCTCTTTCTCTCTCTCTCACACACACACACGAAGCAGATGAAGCCTATGCCATGTCTCCCTCTCTCTGTCGTCGCCCAGGTACCCCTCCTCCTCCTCCTCCTCCTCCTCCTCCTCCTCCTCTCTCTCTCTCTCTCTCTAGCTTTCTCATCACAGCTTCCATCCAAAAGCATCAAACCATTCCTAAAGATTACACCTTTTTAAGTCTTTGATTTGGTTTCAAGTTTCATACGCCAATTCGATTTTGATCTGGGTTTTTTTTTTTGTTTTTTTTTTTTTTTGCCGTTTTATGTTGGGCTTTCATGTTTCATACTCATAATTATTTGTTTGTAATTTTTTTTTTTTAAAAAAAAGATTACACCTTTTTAAGTCTTCGATTTTGGTTCAAAGTTTCATACGCCAAGTTTGATTTTGTTCTTCATACAACCAAGAACAAGAAGAGAGAGAGGATTGGAGTGGCAATGGATTTCTCAAAGAGCAGCAAGACGGCTCTGCAATGGGCTATTGACAACTTGGGTGAAAGAGGTGATACCTTCTACATCATCCACATCAAGTCATGTTCATTATCATCGTCATTTTTATAGATCATTTCATACCCATGATCCTGATCCAACCTTTCTTTATCTGATGTTGATAATTTTGATCTGATCTAACTGAAATTGACCTGGGTTTTTTGTTTTGTAGCTCTCATTCCTCTGGTCGAGGTTTAGGGCATTTATATTTAGTTTTTTTTTGCCGTTTTATTTTGGGGTATTCATGTTTCATACTAATAATTATTTGTTTGTAATTTTTTTTTAAAAAAATAAAATTTATTGAATGTAATTCAGGAATTACAAGAATCAAAAACAGAAAAAATATGTTTTAACTAGCAAAAAACAGAAACTATTTTCATAACAAAAAATTCTGTTATGTTACAAAGAATAGAAAAACTGTTGTTAAGGCCTCTTTCAACTTTACTTCTCCACTACACAGCCTGACAGCAGTCTCCAATCAACAGTCCAGTCTGACAGCACTCTCCAATCTGCACATTCTTCAGAAAACAAAGCAAAACAGCCCCATGCTCTGATCCCAGATCACTGCCTGTAATTCTGATCCCACTCCCTCATCCTTGCACTTGGCAGCATACTCTCTAACCATCTGCTGCAGATCATGCCTGCTGACTGCTGGCATTCTGCATAATCATCCCGATTCCTTCTGATTACAAACCACACTTTGCCTGATCCTTGCATTAGGCAACCTTGATTGGTCCTGGAGTAATAGCACTCTTCCAGCTGCTGGCATAATTCCAATTATTTGTTTGTAATTGAGTGAGTGATTTTAAGAAATAATTTTTTTTTTTGTAGATAATCTTTGTTACGAAACTGTATTGGGGAGACGCAAGAGAGAAGCTGTGTGAAGCTATTGAAGATCTGAAGCTAGATTCATTGGTCATCGGAAGCAGGGGACTTAGCACCATCAAAAGGTACTTCTTTATTCTGATTTTTTTCATTTCTCCATATCGATCATGATCTAATCTTTCACAAATCACAATATATAGTGGTAGTCTCTCTCTCTCTCTCTCTCTCATAAGTTAACATAAGATGTGTTTTGTTTTGGGGGTGGTGGTGATGACATAGGCGTATGTGATGGCAAATGCTGCTTGCCTTGTGACCATCGTCAAAGATCTAGATTTCCACAAGCCCTGATCAAGATTTTCAAATGATACAAAATAACGAATAAGAACTTGCAAGTTCTTTCCTGCTCTGTTTTTTGTTCTGTGTTTTGGTTTGAAAGTTTATGCACTTGACTTTATACTTTGGACTTGATTAAGTTTTTATACAAGAGAAAAGTTGATGACATGTGATATTTTAAGCTTTAAGTGATATTTTTATCATTGTGTTTTTCAGTTCACTAGGTACCCATGTTGCTTGATGGAGCCAAGTTTACTTTAGCGAGGAACAAAGATGAACGTTGCACTTTCAAGCTTTGCCGTGGTCAATGAATTCTTGAACTCTAAGCAAATATTTTGCTTATAAAATTGTGTAAATACCCACTTTTGTTAGCTGGCAATTTATGGTGTTGTGGTCATTCATTCATTGTTTGTGCAATTTAGAATGGTGTTTTCTAGCATGGAATTCCTTTCGATTATGTACTGAACAAATGCTACATCTTTGGTTATGCACATGGTTAGATTTGATGAAATTTCTCATGGAAACATGGTTATTTGGATTGAATGAACAATATGCACACTTTTGATTCTTGATTTTCATAGTTTAATTTCTTTGGTGTTAAGCTTTAATACTACTTGATTAAGAAGAGGATATGTGTGTGTTTTGAAGGTTGAGAAGCGCTTTGGTAATGCTTCACTCATGGAATCAGTGATGAAGCACTTTGGTAAGAATTCTTCCTATTACACCTTTCCCTCCTAATGCATAGTCCTAATGCATTGACAACATATGTATGTAGCTGTTTAGCATGGATGAGTTTCATTTTTTATTTGCCTATTTTTTTTTGGAAATTTTCACGTACAATGTATCAATTAGGTTGATTTTTTTTTTTTTTTGCATAAATTGAATGTTAATGATGTTTGGCAATTCTGATTGATCCATGCTAAACATTGCAATGATCAAATTAGTTTGCCTTTCATATATTGGTAATATGAATTGTTTGGGTTTAAATTCAACTATTGATTGTCTTGGTTATTTGATTCAAAATTCAGCTGGGACAAAGTGAATTGGCTTGGTTTGGAGTCATGAAATTGGATTAGTTTTTATATGGTTTAGATTATGTTCTATGCATTGAATGGGCATGCCTTCTTTATGGATTGAATTCATTGTGCTACCACTTTTACGAATTGCAATTTTGCCTACACTATTGTGGGTTTCTCCTTATATCCCTCTAGATATATATGTGGATGATGAATGAATGTGTTTATTTTTGTGGATTTTATGTTGTGATCTAATGAATTATTTTTAAGGATTTAACAATTAAAATTTTGTTATTCACTTTATGGATTCAATTAAGTAAACCCATAGATTTGTTTGTTAATATAGGCAATTAATATTCAGCTAGGACAAAGTGAATTGGCTTGGTTTGGAGTCATGAAATTGGATTATTTTTTATATTGTTTAGATTATGTTCTTTGCATTGAATGAGCATATAACTTATATTGCAATCGTTGCTAGCTAGCCTTCTTTATGGATTGAATTCATTTAGCTATACTTTTTGGATAATGAATTGTTGTTATAGTGATATATTGCTTCACTTTTGATTGTGATATGAAGTTATATTTTTTTAAACCTTGGAATATATTATGAATCGGTGGTGAAATTGGGGTTTTATGCATTCATAGTTTGGAATTATTTTGTTATTGGAGAGTTGTTACTTCCATTCGGTGAGGTTTTTTACAGAAGTTGTATCGAAATGTATTACTTCAATTTGTCATGGTATAATGCTATAACTATATAGGGATGATCTTTGTATTAAAAGATACTAAGAATGATTTATACATCTATGTGATATTATAGTTTTGATTTCTTCATTGTAGTTTAGGCGGCAAAGGCTCCGTCGATTGGATTTATACAAACGTGGGCTTGATTTTCTCTTCAAAGTCAATGGAAGCACATTTCATGAAAAAGAGACTACAATCCAGTAGTTGTTTTTATTGGAGTCAGGAAATTAAAATTTTGTTATTCACTTTATGGATTCAAGGATTGTGAATTGTGTATGCCCATTCAATGAATTCGAAAAACCAGCTGATGTGAAAAGAAGCCAAAGATTCTAGCTGCAAAGGGGAGACCCTGAATAGGTTTAAATAGCTTGCTGTCGTGTAATCCACAAAATTCCAGCTGAAGAAGAAATATGGCTGAAGTATTCCGGCTAAAAGAAATCCAGCTGTGTGAGGCCAACTAAAGTAGTCCAGCCGAAGGAAAAAAAACCAGCAAGACTAAAATTTGGTTGTGTCTGTTGCACTATATAACTTGCAATTTAAATTTAGGTGTTTTGGTAGGATTGAGACATAGGGTCAGTAAAAGACATAGGGATATATACTTATGTCTATATATACATAGGAATATATACTTGCAGCATGAACATAAATTCTGTTTGAAACAACAAGTATATAACCACGTGCTTGAATGTTTGTGATAATGATTTATACTTGCAGCAAAATTTATATACTTGTAGCAATGTTTATGACGTGGTTCAGCATAGCGATATATACTTGCAGTTTAAATTTGGATTTAGGTATGGACTATGGAGAGGGAACCCATATGAAAAATATGTTAGTATATTAATCATAGATGAATTCACATAGAAACATTGATTACTTCGTAATAGCTGTAGTGAAAAATGGTAACTTTGCATATCTGACCTGTCAAGTCTGAAAGAAACTAGATTGTTCAAAGCTTACATTAAAATGCAGCATCTTACATTAAAATGCCTTGGGGGAGTATATTACTTTTGAGAGATTTGATGGTCAAAGCTCAGAATTATATTAATGTTGGCTCTCCAAGTTAAAGTGGACATCCTGAGAGTAATGTGAAGGCTTTATGTGGTAAATCTAAAAAAAGCCAAGCCAAACAATTGGCTCTAGATGGGGATTTTGGTTGGTTTGTGCAATATTGTGTGGAAACAGAGTAAGCCCAGGAGGGGAAATGCTGTAAAATGAGCAAAACCCTTTTTATGTGGAGGGTTATAGATGGTTTAGACTTGGGGAGTGGAGATGGGGTAAGGAGGTTGTGTAGGGTTGCTTTGAGTGGGGGGAGTGAGGGGCAAGGGCTGTGGGTTGTGGTTTTTTTGAAGTGTTTTGTTGAACTTTAGTATGGGGTTGTGTGAGATAGTATTGTAGCTACTCCAATTAGAGTTATACTGCATTTCAATATATTATGCCAAAGTTTGATGTTTTGCTTCAAAGAAAATACCTATAAGCAATTTCTCATGATTAACAGCTTCGATTTTATAGCTTTGAAATAAGCAGTCTTATTATTGAGCAGACTGGAGGTTCATTTGTTGGAATCTTAGGATTGCTTGCGATTCTACTTATTGTATTATATTTACACACGAAACTTCACAGTCTATGGGGCAGCACTCTGTGAATGGTGAATTGTAGTTCTAATGCTATTTAGTTCCTTATCAATTGACGATTTTGTGGTGTTTCAGGCTTCAAACATTATTGGAATTGGGACGTTTGGGTGTGGGAATACCATTGTGGAAGGAGAGGACTTCATCTGAGAACTTCACTTTTCACCTTTGGAGTTATTGGGTACTTTACGTATTGTAGTTTGAGGCTTGCAGTGATATTCAAATAATTCTCTGTTGTTCATGTATGGTTTTAAACTAGATTTCTTTCTCATGAAATTTATTGCTTATATTCTGACAGGATATAACATTTCCTTTTAGGTGTTCAAATAAATGCTCAATTTGGTTGAATTCTTATGTTCTTCAGCAGGCACCTTAACAGTGAGTAAAACCTTGAACCAAGACTACCCCACATTGTATTTGTAAAATTTGTGAAATGATAAATATTCTATTTGACATGAAGTTTGAGACTTTTCGACAGTATAAATGCTGAGACTTTTTAACAGTATAAATTTGATGAGAATTGTTCATTGAGTTGTCTTCATTTTTTGTGAGCATCGACCGAGTGGTTTTGGTTATTGGTTGGTTTCTTTTCAAATTATATAATGTCAATTTTTACATATGGCTATGTCACAGATTCACAGTATTGAATTGCTGTGAAGTTTGATTGAATACACATCCAATTTTGAGCTTCATGTTACTCCTCTCAGCATAGTATCAGGGTAATCGTTATAAGGTGGCCATGTAATAAATTATTACATTTTTAACTTGAGGATGCGTGTTAAGTAGTTAACATTGTTTACACTTTCCTGTGAATGACACAGGTCAACTACTATATATAGGACGTGTTCGATTTTTTTTAATTGCACCGTGCCTTCAGGCACGGGTTATCCCTAGTTATCAGATAAGCCGGAACTAGTCAACATTGAATTTACCATATCCATTAAAGTTCTATTCTTTCTTCCAGCTACCCCATTTGATTGAGGATAATAAGGAGGAGTCACTTCATGTATTATTTCATGTTCTTCACAAAATGTACTAAGGTCAATTAGAGTATATTCACCACCTCATTCGGACCTTAATCTTTTCACTTTTCTCTTTAATTGATTATTAACCTCATTTTTATATATCTTAAACTTATTATATACTTCATCTTTGTTCTTGATAAGATAAATATTACAATATTTAGAACAATCATCTATGAAAGTCACAAAATATTTATTTCCGACTCTTGTTGGCGGTCTACTAGAATCACATACATCACTATGTATAATTTCTAGAAGTTGGGTATTCCTTTCTACGCTCTTATGAGGTTTTCTAGTTTGTTTGGCTTGTACGCAAGTTTCACACTTATGTTTAAAATCTACATGAAATTTGGGAATAAGATTGAGATCCATCATCCTTTTGATTTTCTTTAGACTTATGTGTCCTAATCTTCCATGACATATATTGCAAGATTCAACATTGAAAACTTGATGAGAAATTTCATTAACTTCCAAAAATACATTCAATTTAAATAAACCATCACAAACATATCCTTTGCCAACAAATATATCATTGTTAGTTATCACAATTTTATTTGACTCAATTACAACCTTATAACCTGTTGGAGTATAGATAGTCTAGTTTATTAGGATTTCTTTTCCCTTTTTTACCCTTACTATGATTTTTATATTTTGCCTAAACTACAAGGATGTTTAAGTCACTCTGTATTATTTTTGGATATATATACAGGGCTCTACTCTTAATTTGAGTATCCCTTTTCACTTACGTTTATTCCAAGTTGGTATCAGAGCCATAACCTAACTCTAACCCTAACCCTAACCCACCAGCTCCTTCTCCACGTTGCAGCCACCAGCCACCACATTGCCACCACACTGCTGCCATACTAACAACAAACCAACTGAACCCTGTCAAAACCCAGTAGCACCGACATCAAACAATACCCACCAATTGCTACCATACCAACACCAAACCGACATCACCCAGTCAAAATGCAAACAGCCCAAACACCAAACAATACCCACCGACTGCTGCCATACCAAACCCAGCAACACCGAAACACCCAAACCACAGACAACCGATAGCCATCGAAACCGAACTGCCTAGCAACAAAATCACAACCAAAAACAGTGTGATCCTCTGTGAAACCAAAAACAGCCCACCAACAGCCTACCTAAACCAAAAACAGAACCCATAGTACACCATACACCTTACACCTTACACCATAACACATCAGTATAGAGCCAGCAACCATAACACCTAGAAAAGCAAGCCAACCTCACTGCCAACGATCAGTCCAAACAGTCCAAAGC